CACTTACCCTGCAACCCATCACGTGACTCCTTGGCTGCTGCTTCCATTGGTGCTGATCGAAGTAAAACGAAATCCTAGACCACCTGACTCTCCATGCCACAGAGAGCTAACAGCAGTTCCCCTTCAGTGAGCACAAGGTATAGGAGAGATCATCTGTGAAAGCCAGAACATGTTAGGCCAAAACCTGTCAGAGAAGGAAAAAGAAAATGTAAAACAAGCAGTGAAAAAGGTGGTCAGACTGCACCCTGTCAAAGGTGAAAAACCGCAAGACCTGGAAAAACAGGGCAGGAATGGCAAGTTCGGGACATGCTGTAAACTTCAAACAAAACCCCCTGTGGGTTCTTTCTCTTTAAGAGGCAGGCATAGACTCACCATCTCACCTGCCCAGAGGCAGAAAAGGCAGCCAGGACATGAGAGATCTCCTTGAGCAAATGGTGGTGAGAGCACTTTGAGGGACAGTGGAATGCTAGCTAGCTTCACTCCTGCTGCGCTCGGTCTTATTGTGGGGCTGCACCAAATAGGTGGCCCTCCAGTTAGTCCAGTCGGGGGGTAGACTCCCCCCTCCCGTGGGAGGCGTGCCGGTTCTATCCGGGCTCCTGTGAGGATGGTGCAGGCCCAGGCAGGGCTTCGTTCTGTTGGGCCGAGGGCCACTGTGGGTCGGAGGACACTCGACACCTAGCAACAAACGCACCGCACGTGCAGCCACGTCCGGAGCCCTGGTGGCGTGGGTTCCTCCTCCATGTGCTAGTCACACGGTCAGCAGTTCCTACTCACTAGCCAATCTGAAGGAGAAAGGGTGTCTGCTCCTATAAGAATGTAGAGTTTCAGAAACCCGCAGGAGGCGGTCCTGCCCTGTTCAAGGATCGCTGTGAGTTTCAATCGACAAGATGGCAGTGGGTTGTGTCTGGATTGATGGTGCTGAACGAGCTTCAGTGGCATTTCTGTATAAAAGCCTAGTTGGCCAATGTCTGAAATTCAGCCAATGAAAACGCCCCAGATGACGATAGTGGGGTCCTGTTGGGCATGGGGGTCACCATTGGTTGGGGGCCAGCCTAAGCTGAGTTATTAATCAACCACCATTAGGACTAATGTGAGCACTCTGTAAGGGCCCATGACCAAAACACCAAACTCATTCTGATGCATCTCAACCCTACAGGACAGGACAGAACTTTCCCTGTGGGTTTCTGAGATTTGAGACTGTAACTCTTTGCAGGAGTAGAAAGCCCCATCTTTCTCCCTCGGAGTGGCTGGTGGTTTTGAACTGCTGACCTTGCGGTTAGCTGCCCAATGTGGAACGCACTATGCCAGTAGGGCTCCTGTAACTGCCCACCGTGTGCATTTTCCTGCAGAGGGAGAGCCTGCGGAAAGCGGGGCACACTAGTCACATCCCCTCACATGTCATGCTTCCTTTCTGTATCCCTAAGCTCTGAGTGTGGGCAGGAAAGACTATCTCAGAAACAGGACACTCCCCACCGCAAAGTCCCCCTCTAACGGCAGTGTCTGCCCAGAGTGGCCCTGGCCCCCCTCGCTATCTCATAAGTCTCTCTTCTAAACACAAAGGTTCTATATTTTAAAAATAAGTTGCACTGACCCCATATTTATTTCTAGTCACAATATGGACATCTCTCCACAAGCACGTGGTACACTACGACGCCCATGGGCCATGCTCACTCGACGAGTGACACGCTTGCTGACCGGAGAAAAGCTCTTAAACCATTCACCTGGGGACCAGTTCTACCAAGAGCAGCCTGTGGAGCCCGAAACCCTGGGGTCAGGAGACGGCGTCAAGCTCCCAGAACTCCCTTGAAGCCAGAGCGGGTCGGGGGCCTTTGTAAAGCGAGCTTCAGGTACCAGGACTCCACATCAGGGGCAGAGGAGAACCCCTGCTATGGACTGGACTGCACCTCCACAGGATTTGTACAAACTGCCAAGGGCTTAGACCCCAGGTCACCACTGGCCACTGTAGGAAAGGCCAGGGCTGCCACTGCAGGAGGCTCTCCAGGATTTCCACACATGGGCTCCCATGAGCCCACCCCTGCCCAAGAAGGCTGCTGAGACAACCACCGTGGCTCCCAGTTAGCAGATCCCGTCAGGAGGGCCAGGAGGCCCACCGTCAGAGGAAAATGCATTTCCATCCAGGAGCTGCCTGATCATAAAACATCACCGAGGTAATGAATTTCCCCGTCCTCTGCCCCACACCACGACAGGCAAATCAAGTAGTAAATTACACTTTATTTCATTTACAGAGACCTTGGGGCAGAGAGGTGGTGTTCGGAAAACAGCACACAGGTGAGAAGCACCAAGGAGAAGCCTGTCATAAATATGCCGGTGTGCGTTCCAGGGGGGTGAGCACAGGGACGGGGAGGAGGGTGCAGTCGGCAGGGAGAGGGCAAGCAAAGTGTGTCCCTGCTTCTCACAGGTTGATCAGATCACCCTCTGTTCCCAGCAGCCGTTGCTCTGGACAAAGCACCAGCCAGACCATGGCGGCCAGTGCCCAGAGCTCCCCTGGCAACGCAACACTGCCAGGAGGCCTGGTTCCCTTTCAAATCTCAGCAGCAGGTGCCCGGGGAAGGCGTGAGGCCAGATCCGCAGTAGGCACCCTCCCTCGGGCTGTTGACAAGTCCATTCGATGAGTCCTGCGTGGGTCTCCCACCCTGCCCAGTTCTGCTGGGTGCCTCCAGTCCCCTCCCCTCTGGAGTTCAATTTCACGTGGCCAGGTGGGTATGGGTTCTGTCGTGAGGGGGAGACGGCAGTGGTTGCCCCAGGAGGTCCGTGGGCCCGGGGCATGTGCGGGCCTGGAGGGCAGGAGCTAGAGCAGCTTGACGTAGTTCTGTGGGATCAGCCCCCTCTTGCCGTTCAGGGTGCCCTCCAGCCAGCCAGGTTCCCTGGAGGTTTGCACTGAAAAGGAAGAGAGAGGGCTTTTACCAGGGTGCCTCCACGTCCTTGCCGTCTGTGCGCCTGAGACTCTCACAGCAGAGAAGGTGGCGCCTTTCTGGGCCGTCCAGTCATGGGTTAGCCTGAGGGTCATTGATAGGGTCTGCCCCCTTTGCCACATGCCTCGTCTGGCTTCCTACAGCAGTCTCTTCACTCGTCACCCAGCTTCTAGGCTGCCCCGCTCTGACCCACCTGCAGAGGAACTCACTGAACACAGAACTAGAATGCGGTGCTGATCGCATCATTGCCTGCTTAAATCCCATTACCTGTCGGGTCAAGTTCAAGCTTCCAATTGGGCTGCTATCAGGCCCTGAGCCCCAGGCCCTGCCTGCCTCTCAGCAGCCCCTCTGCCAGCCCCACAGAGGTCCCCTGAGACACAGAACTGCCTTGCATGGCTGTCAATCTTTACGGGAAGCAGGCTGCAGCATTTTCCTTCTGTGGGTTTGAACTGCCAAACTTTCCTTTAACGGCCATCAGGGTTCCTTTTCCCTGCTACTAGCGCATGCTCAGCCTCAGCCGCCATGAATGACCCAGAGACCCCTGCCTGAGTCCCTGCCCACCTTCGGCCGAGATACCGCCCACCTTCACGGGTAATTCTTCACTTTGGGGACACAGTCTGATGCCTCCTCTGAGGAATCTTGCTCATCTCTGCTCAGCACCTACACAGTCTTCATAGGACGTGTGTAAGAGAGAGCGCAGAAGAGGGAGAAGAAGAGGGGAGGAGGGGAGGGGGGGAGACTGAGCTGCTCCTCACTCTGCTGGGTGGAGAGCTCCTTAGGCCAGGGCCTGACCTGACCTATCTGGGCACGGTGCCAGCAACCGACAGGTGGCCTGTCCGTCTCCACTGTGGAGAAGAGGATTGGATACGAGAACGAATGCCGAACCGACAGCAAAGTGCACTCATGCTCGGGCTTGGAGCTCAGACAGGCTCTTAAGAACCCGCAGCTTTGGGCAGGCTCGGCCAATGAGCACGGCAGGGAGCGGAGGGCAGTCTTGTCTTGTCCATAAAGGAAGTGAGTGGTACAGGCTGGGCCCAGAAGACCTATGTAGGGCTCTGGACCAGAAATGCAGCTCAGTGTACTGCTACAACCTCTGGTGAGAAGTTTTTTTGTTTTTTGTTTTGAATTTAAGGATTTTTTTTAATATAAAAGATTTGGGCATTAAATACATTTTTAAAGATACTGATTACACACACCACACACATCCACATAAACACACACACAAACACCGTAACATACAGTAAAGCGTACTAGTCTTAAACGTGCAGACTGATAAATTTCTGCATAGGTGACCATTGCCGAGAACAAGACAGAACATTTCCACCACCTTATAGGCTTCTTGGTGCTCCCTCCCATAGATTAGTTTTGCTTATTTATGAAATGCATCTTAATTGAATGATACAGTTTGCACTCTTTGGACCTGAGTTTGTTCAACATTGTTTTTTTTTGTTTGTTTGTTTTTTGTTTTTTTTTTGTTTTGTTTTTTCAGGTTTTATTTTTATTTTTATTTCTTAAACATTTTATTAGGGGCTCATACAACTGTTATCCCAATCCATACACACATCAATTGTGTAAAACGCATTTGTACATCATTTCTCAAAACATTTTCTCTCCACTTAAACCCCCAACATTAGGTCCTCATTTTTCCCCTCCTTCCCCGCTCCCCCCTCCCCCCTCGATCATGAGCCCTTGATAGTTTATAAATGGGTATTTTGTCATACCTTGCCCTATCTAACATCTCCCTTCACCCACTTTTCGGTTGTCTGTCCCCCAGGGAGGAGGTCACACACAGTTCCATGTAATCGGTTCCCTCTTTCCTACCCATTCTCCCTATACCCTCCCTGTTTCGCCACTCACACCACTGGTCCTATAGGGCTCATCCGTCCTGGATTCTTTGTATTTTCAGTTCCTATCTGTACCAGTGTACATCCTCTGGTCTAGCCTGACTTGCAAGATCGAATTCGAGTCATGGTAGTGGGAGTGGGTGGGAAACATTTAGGAACTAGAGGAAAGTTGTATTTCTCATCAGCGCAAACCAAATACACTGGTACAGAAGGACAAAATTTTACAAAACAATTCTTCCCCTTACTATGTGCAATGCATTCACTTTTTAAAGTTCTTTTAAAAACAAAACCAGAAAACTCGTGGTAACTCCACAATTGACTTTATGACCCACGAATATGTAGCAACCCAGTTTGGAAAACACCAGGGGTTCAATTCGAAGTCTGCTGCTCAACAAGATCCAGCATCTATTGTGCTTTCCCCACTACACTAACTGCTCGGGCTGTATGCACTGCAGCTCAGCCCCCCTCCCAAGCCTGTCCTGGCTGTTCTTTGCCCCATTTGAGGCGGGACAGTGCGTAGCAGCTCCTCCCTCCGGGATTCTTCCAGGGGCTCCAGCTGGACTAGGTTGCCAGTTACACACACTAACTACACAAAACTGCCAAGGCGCTTAACCCAGTGGGTGGGCACTCACTGGTGTGTGTGTGTCAAAGAGACAGACAGACAGACAGACACTGAGATGCACTCTGAATCTAGGCTATGCCACAGGAGTAGGGGCCTTGTAATCCCAGCACCTGTTCCATGCTGGACACAGAGGAGTCTGTCGAAGGCGTAAGTAACAGCATGTCTTGGAGAGGTGCCTGGGCGGTGATCTGGGAGCCACTTCCTTTCTTCCAGCCTACATTTTGGCCTTTACTTTGACACTGTCCCTCATGACAGGAGACTTAGACTCTGTTTCCTGCTTAATCCCAACTGCACAAATTGGCAATGCCACTAGCCTGCAGAGAGAGCCACTGCCAGAAGACAGCCTAGGGAGGGTGCTCTGGGTTTGTGAGCTATAGGTACTGGCCCCAACGACAACACACAACAGTTCCAGTGCAATGCCTGGCGAAACTCTTGCCGAGTGCACAGGAGACATCCCCTACCCTCTGAGCCTCGCTTCCCGCTGTCCTTGCTCCATGTAGAAGCTGCTGGCACTTAAACTGCAGGGCTGCCATGAGGAGGAGACACAGTCGTTTTTGTAAAACCCCACCCACGGCTCATTTCATTGTGCTTCCTTGTACACAAACACACTCATACGACCTAGATCTTCACGGGCCCTCCCACTCTGCGGGTGTAAAGGTAGCTGGGACGTGGAAGGCCATCGCCAGCCCTGGAATCCTGCACCACCAGCAGGAGCCCACGAGCCCTGCCCGCACTCCATTTGCTTCTCCCCTTCCTTAGTCTTCACTCCAAGACAGAAGTCATCAAAGTCGGAAATGACTTCCCGGGGATGACACTCCTCCGGCAGCATCACGAGCCCGGAGTGGCTGCGGGCTCACAGTGGGGCGGACCGAGGATGGAGGCGGCCAGCGCAAGAAGAGCTGGGCTACTGGAGCCTGCCCCTCCCCGGGATGTGGACGGGGGCTCAGAGGCTTTGGATGAGGCCGGAGAGGGTCTTCCCTCATTTCCACGGCCAGGCTCCTCTCGGGAGCATTACACACAAAAGTGCCCGTCCCAGGCTCTTCGTCACGCTTATTATAGCAAACTGCTCCTCTCTCCGTTTCGGGAATTTAGAGATCCCTCTCTTTGGGGAGGAAGAGTTGGAAGCCAAGAGTCAGTGTGTGTACAGGAAGCGTGATCCATTTTGGAGTTTCCAAAATGCTGGCTGGAACTCAGCTCCCTCGGGGCTATGTGACCCCGCAAGGACTACTTACTCTGTCTTTGCCTCAGCTTTGTTCATCTCTAAAAAGCGGCCAACGATTGCCCATTATAAATGTTACAGAGATGAAACGAAGACTATTTCTATGTAAGCATCAAGCGTGATGTCAGGTAGACCCCTTTCCAGGCTCTAAGGGTGGGGGGAATGGACACACAAACCTGTGTTATTTTAGGAGCAAATGAACCCCCCATTCACATAACCTGTTTTTACTGCAACTGGTCTGTGTGCCCCAGGACACACAATCCCTCTGTAGCCTCTTCTGCTAGGTCAGCCCTGCGGTCTTAGCCCTTCCGTGTCCAGCATGCCAATCCCCTGCTGTTACTTATCTGGGCCTGTGCACCACACTCAGTAAATATGATTTTGTCGTGCGAATAAGAACAGTGTCATAGTTTCATAGCTACTTAAGTTAACTTTGTACTTCCACATTGTATGGAATATGACATTGTTGTAACAAACAAATTTAATGAGGGCTCAGATCAGTAGAGCTCTAAATAACCAACTTCTGATAACACCAGGCGCAATGTAGACTGTCATGGCCACACTGGAACTTGGCCGACTAGAAAATCATTGGCGAGTTATTAGGGTGGGAGAGCACGGGGCGCCCTCGTGTTCACATGCTCCCAGTCAGCGCCCGTGAAACACCCACCAAGGCCGGGAACGGTCTCCCCAAAGGTTGGGGCTGTGTAAGGACTGACTCCAGGCCCAGTGGTGGCACAAAAACCCTTAAAAGAGTGGTCTCGGCTTTCCTAGAGTGCCCCCAAGAAAGCTCGGGTTACCCCCAAACCCCAGCCCCCTGCTCACCATGGGAGAACCACACGGGAAGCCCTACATCCATGGAGGTGGGAAGCACCCAAACACTGCGGCCACTCCACGAGGCAGTGGGCGTGGGAAAAGACGGGGAGGTAAACTGAAGATTCCCCTTGGACACAAGGCTGGGCCTGCTACGCAGCCACAAGCGGCAAGGGGTGGAGGGCAGGTCTGAGAAGGGATGGGTCCTGTGGGCTGAGTTGTAGGCAGTGGCCTTGTGGGGGCACGGCCCATTTCCACTGTCCTGCGCTGTGTGAATCATCAGAAGGGGCTTTAACGGCCGTGTTCTGAGTCACGCATGCGCTTCTACATTTTCATGAAGTCTAAGAGATGGCGTGTGCAGAGAAGATGAAGGTCAAATGCATCCTAAACAATTCACTCCCGAGGCTGAGATGGGCAGCTGCCCGTGAGACACTCCCAAGGCATGCTGGCATACTTTAACAAGACTTGGGATCTTAGAGGCAGCCCTGGTGGCACAGTGGGCTATGAGTTAGGGTTCAACAGTTTGAAACCACCGGGGGTAAACAGCTAGGTGTCGGAATCAATTCGATGGCAGTGAGTTTTCAGTTTGGCAGTTTAGTGGGTTACACGTTGGGCCAGTCGAACCCACCAGAGCCTCTGAGGGAAGAAAGATGGGGTTTTCTGCTCTGGGAAAGATTCACAGCCTCAGAGACTCACAGGGACAGTCCTATAGCGTTGACGTAATGAGTCTGGGGATCGGTAACGATGTGCTGGGCACCGTGGCCAGGCTGAGGGCACTGACTCTGTCCAGAGTCCCACAGACTCCACCCGAGCAGGATGAGACCTTATGAGACGTGCCAGCTCCTGGGCTGCCTCCAGCCAAGGCCTCTCATGTGGTTGGGCATTTCAGAGGGAGGAGCCACTGGCCATTTTCACTGCAGACTCCAGTCGAGCCAGAGAGCAGGACTGAGTGGTAACCACCAGAAGGCTTTCCTACGGCTCCCAGTCCATGGAAAAGGGAACAGCGAGCTCCTACGGCCATCGCAAGAGCATGGACTGTCCTGAGATTTCCCCACACACACCCCCCTCCAGGGGAACATGAGAAGCATTTCCTTAGAATAATGGTGAGCGTTAGTGTCTCTCTTGTAGCAACACATCTTGGGTCTAGTATTTGAACTCAAATGAAGCCTGGACCACAGAGTACCCAGAGAGTAAGGAACGGTTACAGAGCTACATAATTACTACAGATCCTTTTCCCTGCCGCATTCTGGGTTGGGATTCTTATGGCTGTGCATATTCCAAACCACGTAACCACTGACAGTGCGGCCCAAGGGCCACTTAGACCTGGATTCGGTCTTCTCCAGAGGCCAACGAATGCCAACGAACTCCTTTGTTGCCTGGATGATGGATAAAACCAGACTGAACTGCGGCAACATTTCTGGAGCCGAACGGAAGAAGGGTGTCTTGGGCATTTCGCAGATATCAAGAAAGTGTCCATCGTCTGTAGAGGGGTCATGTGGGCGGTGGTCACTTGAACGCTGTCCGTCTGCACAGAATCGACGCTGTAAGACCTGCCAGGCTGTCCAGCTGAGGGCACGCCATCAGAAGGGGAGCCCCACAGCCCATCACAGCAGGGCTTCACTGGACGTAGTCTGGGCAAGTGCATACTTCTAAATTTGAATCACACATCTCTGAAGCTTTCGACCGTCCACGGGGTGAAGGTGTAAACAGAGGGAGAAAACCTTCTCCTGTTTAAGAGACAGTCATTCCAGACAGCCCGAGTGGTGAAGCGGTTAACAGGCTCAGCTGCTAATCGAAAGGGCAGAGATATGAGTCCAGCAGAGTTGCCTCAACAGAAAGGCCGAGAGCTCTACTTCTGGAAAGGTAGACAATGTAAACCAAATGGAACCATGGTTCCAGTCTGACACACATCAAGTCATCTTGAGTTGAACTTGACCAGAGAGCTACTCTTCTGGATCAAGTCTTCAAATCACTGTGTTCTTTAGGAACCATCCCTAAAAAGCAGCCGGGCTAATCGTGTAGGGCTATGCTACCGCCCGCTGCTCCGCACTTGTACCAAAGCACCTGAAGGGCACGTAGCTCAAAGAAAGAGCAGCTCACAGGCCGGTGCAGGGAGGCAGCATCGACACATCGGCATGGTGTGAGCGGAGCAACAGGCAGTGTTGGCAGAGTCAGGAACCACCCTGTGGCCCTGTCAGCAACAGCCCAGACAGAGCTGCAAGCCAGCATTGCACGGCACCAAATTGTGGAGGCATGACTTGGCTCAAACTGTGGCCCACTGCCTTGGTATACCAGTGTGCCACGTGTGGCTTCACTGTCAGCAACATCCTCCACTAAGGTCGACGGCACAAATGCCCAGCTTCCCTTAGCCAAACTTCTTTCCTGGCACAACATCCATCTTGCGGATCGCTCTGAGGATTCGGATGAAGACAATGAACCTGCTCACACAGGAAGTGGAGAATCTGTGGAGCAGAACTCAACAAATAAGTACAGAGTTTATACACTCACAGACTGATATTGGTCTATGTGTCTATGAGGAAATGACTTATAGGAACCCACTATGTTTGTATATCTGTGTATATATCTACGTATCTGTATATGTACCTGTACACACATATCTACATCCTGATCTACACACACATACATATGTATATTCTATATAAGGCTCCTTTATCTGTGCGGAGCGCTGGTAGCAGAGTGGATTATGAGTTGGGCTGCTAACTGGTAAGTCAGCAGTTTGAAACCACCAGCTGCTCTGAGAGAAAGATGAGGCTTTCTGCTCCCATCCAGATTTACAGCCTCAGAAGCCAACGGGGCGGTTCTACGCTGTCCTATCGGGTTGTCATAAGTTGGAATTGACAGCAGTGAGTGAGTGAGTG